AAGCAGAGGGTTTCAGAGGGTTTCTACACAACTGGGTGTCAGAGCGGATGTACCAGAGAGAGAGAGAGAACAGAGAGAGACCAGAGAGAGAGAGAGAGAAAGAGAGAGAACAGAGAGAGACCAGAGAGAGAGAGAGAGAGAAAGAGACCAGAGAGAGAGAGAGAGAGAGACCAGAGGGAGATCAGGGAGAGACCAGAGAGCAGAGAGAGAGCAGAGAGAGCAGAGAGAGATCAGGGAGAGAGAGACCAGAGGGAGACCAGAGAGAGAGAGAACAGAGAGAGACCAGAGAGAGAGAGAGAGAAAGAGACCAGAGAGAGAGAGAGAGAGAGAGAGTGAGACCAGAGGGAGATCCGGGAGAGACCAGAGAGCAGACAGAGAGCAGAGAGAGCAGGGAGAGAGAGACCAGAGGGAGACCAGAGAGAGAGAGAGAGAGCAGAGATAGATCAGGGAGAGACCAGAGAGACCAGGGAGAGACCAGAGAGAGAGACCAGAGAGAGAGACTAGAGAGAGACCAGAGAGAGACCAGAGAGAGAGACCAGAGAGAGAGACCAGAGAGAGAGACTAGAGAGAGACCAGAGAGAGAGACCAGAGAGAGAGACTAGAGAGAGACCAGAGAGAGAGACCAGAGAGAGAGACCAGAGAGAGAGAGACCAGAGAGAGAGACTAGAGAGAGACCAGAGAGAGACCAGAGAGAGAGACTAGAGAGAGAGATGACTAGAGAGAGAGACTAGAGAGAGAGACCAGAGAGAGAGGCTAGAGAGAGAGACCAGAGAGAGACCAGAGAGAGAGACTAGAGAGAGAGACTAGAGAGAGAGACCAGAGAGAGAGGCTAGAGAGAGAGACCAGAGAGAGACCAGAGAGAGAGACCAGAGAGAGAGACCAGAGAGAGAGACTAGAGAGAGACCAGAGAGAGAGACCAGAGAGAGAGACCAGAGAGAGAGACCAGAGAGAGAGACTAGAGAGAGACCAGAGAGAGACCAGAGAGAGAGACTAGAGAGAGAGACTAGAGAGAGAGACTAGAGAGAGAGACCAGAGAGAGAGGCTAGAGAGAGAGACCAGAGAGAGACCAGAGAGAGAGACTAGAGAGAGAGACTAGAGAGAGAGACCAGAGAGAGAGACCAGAGAGAGACCAGAGAGAGAGACTAGAGAGAGACCAGAGAGAGACCAGAGAGAGAGACTAGAGAGAGAGACTAGAGAGAGACCAGAGAGAGAGACCAGAGAGTGCAGTCTGTGGTGGACACAAATCCTCATCTCAGACTTGTCTCTTGTCGTTGATGGATCAGTGAATTCTATTCTGGGCGAGGTGTGTGTGTCTGTCTGTGTGTGTCTGTGTCTGTGTTTGTGTTTGTATGTGTGTGTGTCTTCTGAGCTAGAGGCCGTTGTTTACTAAAGATTACCCATAAATAATTCTCAGGTTTGATTCCTGTATTCCTGTGAAGTGAATGTTTCTGGTTTTGTCTCTCTCTGAATGAGATGGTTCAGTTTTAGTTTTGTGTTGGCTTTTGGGCGGCGGACATGTTGTAGACGAGGGCTTCTCTGCGGTGGTCCTGCTCCCTCCCTCCCCCTCTCACCCTCCCACCATGGGCTCCAGGATGAGAGGTGCATTACCATAGACAGCAGGTGAACCCAGCGGTCGACCTGTACAAGAGCTGTGGGGGGTGAGGGAGGGTGAGGAGGGGTGAGGCGGGGTGAGGGAGTGACATACAGGGAATACAAATGAACATACAGGCTGCAACTTATAGAGACAGACACTGGATCAGGGTCCAACATGTGTTAAGTTTATCTACTTATATAGAGAGACGAGAGAGAGATAAAAGAGAGAGACCAGAGAGACAAGAAAGAGAGACCAGGGAGAGAGAGACAAGAGAGAGACCAGAGAGACAAGAGAGAGAGACCAGGGAGAGAGAGATAAGAGAGACCAGAGAGAGACTAGAGAGAGAGACAAGAAAGAGAGACCAGGGAGAGAGAGACAAGAGAGAGACCAGAGAGACAAGAGAGAGAGACCAGGGAGAGAGAGACAAGAGAGACCAGAGAGACCAGAGAGAGACTAGAGAGAGAGACAAGAGAGAGACCAAAGAGAAACCAGAGAGAGACAAGAGAGAGACCAAAGAGAAACCAGAGAGAGACAAGAGAGAGACCAGAGAGAGAGACCAGGGCTGATAAAACAGCTGTGCAGAAAGGATAACAGATGATGCTGCTGCTCTCTGCCTGGGATAACACACAGCAGCCTCTCCATCATGTTTCCCCTCTACCTCTCTACCCCCTCTTTCCCTCCCCCTCTCCCCCTCTCCCCCTCTCCCTGGTCTTAAACAGAGAGACCGTTTAGTCCCTGATAAGTGAGTGACGTGAAAGCACTGATACGGCCCACGCTGCTGCGGTTAGCACCAGCACCTGCTCCCAACCTGGTACAGCTCAGTCACGGTCTTTAGGGACAGAAATCTGAAACTCTGTAAGATCCGAGGCTTTAAGAAGGTTAGAGGCCTCAGTGTGAGACGGGAGAGAGGAGAGGGTTGTGCTGTGACCATACTTCTCCAGCAGGGGTCTCCATGTCTGCGTTTTTAGACTTAAGGTTGTAGTTCTAAGTCTTCCTTGAGTCTTGTCTGCTTCATAGACGTGGATGTGGAGCTGATTCCACAGTAAAGGAGTTTAGTAGGAGGGTTGGTGTGTTATAAGAAAGATTAAGATTTGATTCTATTAACACTGGAGAGTCAGATCAGAGAGAGAGACCAGAGAGAGAAACAAGAGTGAGAGAGAGAGAAACCAGAGAGATCAGAGAGAGAAACAAGACTGAGAGAGAGAAACCAGAGAGATCAGAGAGAGAAACAAGACTGAGAGAGAGAAACCAGAGAGATCAGAGAGAGAAACAAGACTGAGAGAGAGAAACCAGAGAGATCAGAGAGAGAAACAAGACTGAGAGAGAGAAACCAGAGAGATCAGAGAGAGATGAAATAGATCATAGAGAGATGAAAGAAAGAGACCAGAAGAAGACCAGAGTGATTTTTGGACGAGCCTGAAGCTTTTTATAGAGGATTTAGGGCGCGCTGCCAGCAGGGGGCGCTACACAAGTCAAGCCTTGAAGTGACAAATGCAGAATCATTTTTTCAGCTTCACTTTTAGGAAGAATAGAGTTGTGGCTGATGTTGATGGTTTCAGTCATGGTTCATATGTGTTAAAGGAGAATGTTGCTAGGGGCTATGCTAACGTTAGCATGTGTCAAAGTGACTGTGTTTCTGGCAAAAAAACTGCGCTTTGATAGTAATTCTCCTTAACGCAGGATGAAAGCTGAACAGCAGGGGGCGCTCTTATATCAGGCATGCACCGCGGAGCACAAACAAGCGCCGCCTAAGCCGCCTAATGCCAGGCTGTAATCAGGGCTCTGTGGAACAATGCTAATTATGCTAATGAGGAGTTTAGCTCATTAATTCAACTCAGAAAATCCTTCTGAGTCAACACACGCACACACTGGTCTCTCTCTGGTCTCTCTCAGGTCTCTCTGGTCTCTCTCAGGTCTCTCTGGTCTCTCTCTGGTCTCTCTCTGGTCTCTCTCAGGTCTCTCTGGTCTCTCTCTAGTCTCTCTCTGGTCTCTCTCTAATCTCTCTCTGGTGTCTTTCTGGTCTCTTTCTGGTCTATCTCTGGTCTCTCTCTGGTCTTTCTCCCTGGTCTCTCTCTGGTCTCTCTCTGGTCTCTCTCTGGTCTCTCTCTAGTCTCTCTCTGGTCTCTCTCTCTGGTCTCTATCTGGTCTCTCTCTGGTCTCTCTCTGGTGTCTCTCTGGTCTCTCTCTGGTCTCTCTCTGGTCTCTCTCTAGTCTCTCTCTAGTCTCTCTCTGGTCTCTCTCTAATCTCTCTCTGGTGTCTTTCTGGTCTCTCTCTGGTCTCTCCCTGGTCTCTCTCTGGTCTCTCTGCTGGTGGTGGAGAGTGGGAGGTCTGTGTTTCCCGGATAGAAGAGCTTTGTTTCATCTGCCTCCAAGATACCAGGGGCCTGTCACACACACACACACAAACACACACACACACACACACACACACTCACTCTCGATCAAAGGCTCATCTGCAGCAGTAGAACCATGGGCTTCTTCCTCTGCTCCTCTCCCTATGATGGTACTTTTGTCTGGTAGAATAGAGTAGGGTAGAGTAGAGTAGAGTAGAATTGGGTAGAGTAGACTCGGGCTGGTGGAAACAGGGCTCTAGTATTATTAATGATTATAAAGTTAGGCCCAATCTTCAGGAGACATGGCTCTGAAAAGACTGGACTTACCTCTGGACTCCTGCACATGAACTAGTGGCCAGGACTTGTTGGACTGGTCTCTCTTGGACTTAGAGTAGAGTAGAGTAGAGCTGTGCAAAGTAGACCTGGTGGACTTGAGACCTAGGACTTGGACTTGAGACCAAGTCGGCAAAACCAATCATGGTCTCTCTCTCTCTCTGCCCTCTCTGCCGTGTCCCTAGTTTCCTTTTTGTCTCTAATAGTGTCTCCCTCTGGTCCTCTAGTCTCTCTCTGGTCTCTCTGGTCTCTCTGGTCTCTCTGGTGCTCTGATCTATCTCTGGTCCTCTAGTTTCTTTCTGGTTCTCTAGTCTCTCTTTGGTCTCTCTCTGATCCTCTTGTCTCCCTCTAGTCTCCCTCTGGTCCTCTTGTCTCCCTCTAGTCTCCCTCTAGTCTCCCTCTGGTCTCCCTCCGGTCTCCCTCTGGTCTCCCTTTAGTCTCCCTTTTGTCTCCCTCTGGTCTCACTCTGGTCCTCTGGTATAATTCCTGCCGGAGTGTGACGAGTTCATTAAGTGTGAAACCCTCTCTCTCTCCGGTCCCTGAGTCTCGGATCTCTCTCATTCCATTCGCAGCTAAAGCTTTGGTGCGAGATTTGTCCGTGACCCGCCGCCTAATCTCTACTCTGCCGCTCTCTCGTCTCTAATTTTCCGCTCTCTCGTCTGCCAGATCGATTCCGTTGTTGCGCAGTGTTTTTGTTTTGCCGCGTGTGCGATTTTACCACATTCAGAGTAAAAGTGATGATGGAGCAGAAGAGACTGTATCAGGACTGGTCTGAGCGTGGGTCATTTACAGACAGAAAGAGAAGAGAGTACAAGAGAGGAGAGTCAAAGAGAGGAGAGTCAAAGAGAGGAGAGTCCAAGAGAGGAGAGTACAAGAGAGGAGAGTACAAGAGAGGAGAGTCCAAGAGAGGAGAGTCTAAGAGAGGAGAGTACAAGAGAGGACAGTCCAAGAGAGGAGAGTACAAGAGAGGAGAGTACAAGAGAGGAGAGTCCAAGAGAGGAGAGTCAAAGAGAGGAGAGTACAACAGAGGAGAGTACAAGAGAGGAGAGTACAAGAGAGGAGAGTCCAAGAGAGGAGAGTCCAAGAGAGGAGAGTACAAGAGAGGAGAGTCCAAGAGAGGAGAGTCAAAGAGAGGAGAGTCAAAGAGAGGAGAGTCCAAGAGAGGAGAGTACAAGAGAGGAGAGTACAAGAGAGGAGAGTCCAAGAGAGGAGAGTCTAAGAGAGGAGAGTACAAGAGAGGAGAGTCAAAGAGAGGAGAGTACAACAGAGGAGAGTACAAGAGAGGAGAGTACAAGAGAGGAGAGTACAAGAGAGGAGAGTCCAAGAGAGGAGAGTACAACAGAGGAGAGTCCAAGAGAGGAGAGTCCAAGAGAGGAGAGTCCAAGAGAGGAGAGTACAACAGAGGAGAGTCCAAGAGAGGAGAGTACAAGAGAGGAGAGTACAACAGAGGAGAGTCCAAGAGAGGAGAGTACAAGAGAGGAGAGTCCAAGAGAGGAGAGTCCAAGAGAGGAGAGTACAAGAGAGGAGAGTACAACAGAGGAGAGTCCAAGAGAGGAGAGTCCAAGAGAGGAGAGTCCAAGAGAGGAGAGTCCAAGAGAGGAGAGTACAACAGAGGAGAGTCCAAGAGAGGAGAGTCCAAGAGAGGAGAGTCCAAGAGAGGAGAGTCCAAGAGAGGAGAGTACAAGAGAGGACAGTCCAAGAGAGGAGAGTACAAGAGAGGAGAGTACAAGAGAGGAGAGTCCAAGAGAGGAGAGTACAAGAGAGGAGAGTCCAAGAGAGGAGAGTACAAGAGAGGAGAGTACAAGAGAGGAGAGTACAAGAGAGGAGAGTACAAGAGAGGACAGTCCAAGAGAGGAGAGTACAAGAGAGGAGAGTCTAAGAGAGGAGAGTCCAAGAGAGGAGAGTACAAGAGAGGACAGTCCAAGAGAGGAGAGTACAAGAGAGGAGAGTCCAAGAGAGGAGAGTCAAAGAGAGGAGAGTCAAAGAGAGGAGAGTCCAAGAGAGGAGAGTACAAGAGAGGAGAGTACAAGAGAGGAGAGTCCAGAGAGGAGAGTCTAAGAGAGGAGAGTACAAGAGAGGAGAGTCAAAGAGAGGAGAGTACAACAGAGGAGAGTACAAGAGAGGAGAGTACAAGAGAGGAGAGTACAAGAGAGGAGAGTCCAAGAGAGGAGAGTCCAAGAGAGGAGAGTACAAGAGAGGAGAGTCCAAGAGAGGAGAGTCCAAGAGAGGAGAGTCCAAGAGAGGAGAGTCCAAGAGAGGAGAGTACAAGAGAGGAGAGTCCAAGAGAGGAGAGTACAAGAGAGGAGAGTACAAGAGAGGAGAGTCCAAGAGAGGAGAGTACAAGAGAGGAGAGTCCAAGAGAGGAGAGTACAAGAGAGGAGAGTACAAGAGAGGAGAGTACAAGAGAGGAGAGTACAAGAGAGGACAGTCCAAGAGAGGAGAGTACAAGAGAGGAGAGTCTAAGAGAGGAGAGTCCAAGAGAGGAGAGTACAAGAGAGGAGAGTCCAAGAGAGGAGAGTACAAGAGGGAGAGTCAGAGAGGAGAGTCCAAGAGAGGAGAGTCCAAGAGAGGAGAGTCAAAGAGAGGAGAGTCCAAGAGAGGAGAGTACCAAGAGAGGAGAGTACAAGAGAGGAGAGTACAAGAGAGGAGAGTCCAAGAGAGGAGAGTCTAAGAGAGGAGAGTACAAGAGAGGAGAGTCAAAGAGAGGAGAGTACAAGAGAGGAGAGTACAAGAGAGGAGAGTACAAGAGAGGAGAGTACAAGAGAGGAGAGTCCAAGAGAGGAGAGTACAGAGAGGAGAGTCCAAGAGAGGAGAGTCCAAGAGAGGAGAGTCCAAGAGAGGAGAGTACAAGAGAGGAGAGTCCAAGAGAGGAGAGTCCAAGAGAGGAGAGTACAAGAGAGGAGAGTACAAGAGAGGAGAGTCCAAGAGAGGAGAGTCCAAGAGAGGAGAGTACAAGAGAGGAGAGTCCAAGAGAGGAGAGTACAAGAGAGGAGAGTCCAAGAGAGGAGAGTACAAGAGAGGAGAGTCCAAGAGAGGAGAGTCCAAGAGAGGAGAGTCAAGAGAGGAGAGTCCAAGAGAGGAGAGTACAAGAGAGGAGAGTCCAAGAGAGGAGAGTACAAGAGAGGAGAGTCCAAGAGAGGAGAGTCAAGAGAGGAGAGTACAAGAGAGGAGTAAGTCCAAGAGAGGAGGAGAGTACAAGAGAGGAGAGTCCAAGAGAGGAGAGTCCAAGAGAGGGAGAGTCCAAGAGAGGAGAGTCCAAGAGAGGAGAGTACAAGAGAGGAGAGTACAAGAGAGGAGAGTCCAAGAGAGGAGAGTACAAGAGAGGAGAGTACAAGAGAGGAGAGTACAAGAGAGGAGAGTCCAAGAGAGGAGAGTACAAGAGAGGAGAGTCCAAGAGAGAGAGTACAAGAGAGGAGAGTACAAGAGAGGAGAGTCCAGAAGGAGAGTGAGAGGAGAGTACAAGAGAGGAGAGTACAAGAGAGGAGAGTCCAAGAGAGGAGAGTACAAGAGAGGAGAGTCCAAGAGAGGAGAGTACAAGAGAGGAGAGTACAAGAGAGGAGAGTCCAAGAGAGGAGAGTCCAAGAGAGGAGAGTACAAGAGAGGAGAGTCAAGAGAGGAGAGTCCAAGAGAGGAGAGTACAAGAGAGGAGAGTACAGAGAGGAGAGTCACAAGAGAGGAGGAGTACAAGAGAGGAGAGTCCAAGAGAGGAGAGTACAAGAGAGGAGAGTACCACAGAGAGGAGAGTCCAAGAGAGGAGAGTACAAGAGAGGAGAGTCCAAGAGAGGAGAGTACAAGAGAGGAGAGTCCAAGAGAGGAGAGTCCAAGAGAGGAGAGTACAAGAGAGGACAGTCCAAGAGAGGAGAGTCCAGAGAGGAGAGTCCGAAGAGAGGAGAGTACAAGAGAGGAGAGTACAAGAGAGGAGAGTCCAAGAGAGGAGAGTCCAAGAGAGGAGAGTCCAAGAGAGGAGAGAGAGAGGAGAGTACAAGAGAGGAGAGTACAAGAGAGGAGGTCAGTCCAAGAGAGGAGAGTACAAGAGAGGAGAGTACAAGAGAGAGGAGAGAGAGAGTCCAAGAGAGGAGAGTCCAAGAGAGGAGAGTCCAAGAGAGGAGAGTCCAAGAGAGAGAGAGTACAAGAGAGGAGAGTACAAGAGAGGAGAGTACAAGAGAGGAGAGTCCAAGAGAGGAGAGTACAAGAGAGGAGAGTACAAGAGAGGAGAGTACAAGAGAGGAGAGGAGTATAGAGCCTTGTTAGCTCTGCACAAGAGAGCCTAGAGAGAGAACCCAAAGGAAAAAACCAGAGAGAGAGACCAGAGAGACCTCCCTCTATCTCTACTCTTCAGAGAAACTCATGTGTTGCTTGTATCTCGTCCTTTCGGTCATTACCCAAAGACCAGAAGTGAAGGAGGGGACATGGAGCTCTGTCTGCAGACGCTGCTCCCTCTTGACCACTACAGTAAAGCTGGTGTCTGGACGATCGTCTGACGGACAGTAAAGATTATAGAGACGAGATAGTGTGGAACAAAGACACCATGTTGACTTGAACCAGCGCACACCTGGATCGATGGTCACAGCTGCCGGCCGCTGCACAGAGCTGACACGTGACAAGGCACCATGTGATAAAACCATGTGAGGGATTGCCAGCTGTGGAGATGAGACCAGATCAAAGCGCTGTGAAACAGGTCCCAGAGGAGGAGAGTATCGATCTGCTTTTGTTCTGAGGCCTGAAGCTTCCACCGCTCACGAGGGGGAGACAGAGGGGGGGGGGGGGCAAAGGGGGGGAGGCGGCTAATGGCATGTGAAATAGCTGATGTAGTCACGGCGACAGAGGGAGGGTAAACATGGAAACTATGTAATGTCTGTTTTTGGAGTGATCCCAAACTTTGGTCTTTCTGTTCTCTCTCTAATCTCTCTCTGGTCTCCCTCTTGTCTCTTCCTGGTCTCTCTCTTTCTTGTCTTCGCAAGGGATCTCGAGTCTATCCTGAGAAAAGACAAAAAATGAAAAAAAGACGTCCTGGATCACTCTCTCTGGTCTCGTCCTCTCAGTCTTCCCAAGTCTTTAACTGTGTTCTCGTCTCGGGATCTCCCTCTTGCCCTCCCTGGTCTCATACTCTTTCTCGTCTCTCTCAGGTTCGCTTCCCAATTCATCAACACTTCTCCTCCGCCGACCTTCCTCCCCATCCGTAACATCTCCCCACTCACTCTTCCCCCCTCACATCACTGGACACCTCTTACGTCCACCCCCAATATCCAGTACCTTCCCTCCCATGTCATCTCTCCTCTTCCCGCTCCTCCCCCGACCTCTCACTCCCATCTTATCGCCCTCTCATTCCCGCTCCCACAATTCACTCCTCTCCCGCCCATCTCCTCTTCCTCACCCCCTCTCTCCATCTCAGGTACTCCCCCAACTCCCGCTTCCTCACTCACCTCCCCTCTTCTCCCCACCGCTCCCTTCCTTCTCCCAATTCTCCTCTCCTGCCGCAGTCTCAGCCGCCTCCGCCCTCCCGCCCCTCTCTCCTACCCCCTCTGTTCCCTCTCTCCACCGTCCTCCCTCCTCCTCATCCTTCTTCAACTACCCTCCCCCCTGCCCTTCCCTTCTCTCAGGAATTCTCTCTACATGGGGGTCCCCCTCTGGTCCTCACTCCGTCCTGCTCTCGTCTAAACTCTCTCCAGGTCCTCATTCTTCGAGGCACCATCCGCTCTCACCCGCAACCCACCGCACCGCAATCCACACTCTCCCGCCTTCCTCTCCTGTGTTTTCCTTGTGTTCGCTCTCTCGTCTCCTCTGGGCATGGTGTCTCTACTGGACTCTCTGGATATCAATGGGCCTGTATCTGCTCCTGGTCGAGTCCCTAAACGGTTCGCTTCCCCCGGTGCCACCCCCCACTAAGATTCACTCCCCCTCTAGACCAGCAACCCCTCTGACCCTCTCATTACTGCTCCCCCCCTCAATCAACCAGACCACCACAGGCTTCCTCCCCTCTTAAAAACATTATAAAATATCTCACCCCCTCCTCGAGACGCCCTCTTCCTCTCAAACACACCACGCTTCCGATTCTCGATGCTCCCCCTCCACCCCTCCCCACACCGCCCACAGGCTTACCTGCATCCCTCTTCTTTCTTTCCTCCCCCCGGATCACCGCACTCCCCCCACCCCACGAGGCCCTTTCCGCCACGTGGACGACCCATCCACCTTCATCGATAGTCCTCGGATGCCGAGGACATGTATGCCTCGCTTGCCCACCGTATATGCCCCATTAACCCCCTGCAGCCCCTGTACGTGACCATTTACCTTCCGCTCCTACACCCTCCGGCCTCCCCCCCCCCTGCCCCGCGAGCCGCCCCCCCTCATCACTACCCACCCCCCTCCCCCTTCCCTCCCGACCCCCCCACTTCCCCACCCGTAACCACCCCCCTTCCCACCGTTCTTCCCGCCATACACCCGGCCCTTTAAGCCGCCGCAACAAAGGCCCGCCCCCCCACAACTTCCCACTGAACCTTTCCCTAATGGTCCCCTCGCCCCGCTACCACTTAGAAGTCCGCACTCCACCCCCCCTTTCCCCCTCCCCTTTTCCGATCTCAAGGCGCCGGGCAACGACGGTCGCCTGTACCCCCGCCTTCCCCCCCCAGCCCCCCCCCCATTCTTTCCCCCCGCACCCCCCCCAGCATCCCTTCCCCTTAGCTCGTCGAACCCCACCCCGTTTTTCCCCTTCCCCCCCCCCGAGTCGACCTACCAAGCCCCCCGCCCCTTCATTCGTCGCCCAACCCTCGCTGTTTGGCTTCAGCAGACCACCCCTCGGTTCCCCTCCCTACCCTACCCCATCCAGCCCCCTTTAAACCCTCACCCCTTTTCTTTTACCCCCTCCCCCCCCTCTCATCCCTTCCCTCTACTCACTCACCCATCAAATCGTTCTCTGTGTCCCGCGCCCCCCCCCAGACCCCCCACAGGCTTAGCCCCCCCCTTCTTTCCTCCCTTCCTCACCCTTTTCCCTTCCCCCCCCCCCCCCCCCTTCCCCCCATCCCCCCCCCCCCCCCCCTCTCTCACAGCGGAACCTCCACAAGACCCCCTCCACGAAACCTCCTCTTCTCATCCCTTGTCTCTTTTCTCTTCTTCGCCCTCTCCCTCCCCCGCCCCACCCATAGGCTTCCCTTCCTCGGTTAACCCTGTCCCCCCCCCCCCCCTCACCGTCAACTTGCCCAACATGCCCCATCAGCTCGACGACCGACCTTCTTTCTTCTCTTCATCGCCCCAGGTACAGGTGACCACAAGGCTTCCTCATCCTCTTATCCTCTCGTCGACTTCTCGTCACCCTCTTCTCTCCCCCCCCAGGCTTCACACATCACCCTTTTCTCTCTCCCCCAGGCTTCCTCAGCACAGGAGACCAGTCTGCCAAAGGGAACTATGGCCTCCTGGACCAGATCCAGGCTCTGCGATGGCTGAATGAGAACATCGGTCACTTTGGGGGAGACCCCGAGAGGATCACCATCTTTGGGTCCGGAGCGGGGGCCTCCTGTGTCAACCTGCTGATCCTGTCCCACCATTCTGAGGGTACGGCCCTGCTCCACATTATTATTATTATTATTATTATTATAGCATTGTCATTTTCTATACTTTTATTTAACTGGGAAAGTACTGTAGGTCTGAATGATATTGGAGTGATCCTAAAGCTGTGTTTAGCTCCATCCATGCTCATGTCATCTCATGTTTCAACATGTTCAGCCATTTCCTTTTTTATTTAAGTACAAACACACACACACACAAACAGACAAATACACACACACAGACAAATACACACACACACACACAGACAAATACACACACACAAACAAATACACACATACACAGACAAATACACACACACAAACAAATACACAAATACACACACACACAGACAAATACACACACACAGACAAATACACACACACAAACAAATACACACACACACACAGACAAATATACACACACAAACAAATACACACACGGACAAAAACACACACAAACAAATACACGCACACAGACAAATACACACACACACACAAACAAATACACACACAAACAAATACACACACACACACACACACACAAACAAATACACTCATACACACAGACAAATACACACACAGACAAAAACACACACAAACAAATACACACATACACAGACAAATACACACACACAAACAAATACACACACACAGACAAAAACACACACAAACAAATACACACACAGACAAAAACACACACAAACAAATACACACATACACAGACAAATACACACACACACAAACAAATACACACACAAACAAATACACACATACACAGACAAATACACACACACACGAACAAATACACACATACACGAACAAATGCACACACACACACAGACAAAAACACACATACACATACACACATACACAGACAAACACACACACACACACAGACAAATACAAATACAAACACAGACAAATACACGCACACACAGACAAATACAAATACACACACACAGACAAATACACACACACACACACACACACACACACAGACAAATACACACACAAACAGACAAACACACACACACACATACAAACACTTATCTTCTGTGTCCACTGCATATAATCAGTGATTTCTTCCATGAATCTGTTCAAACACATAATGGCTCAGTAAAACATGGACAGTGAGCCTCAGATCTCAGTCCTTGTTTGTTCAGGTTTTTCCACAATAATCACAGTTTGTCAATAATAAAAATTGCATATTGAGACTGGTCAGAAAGTCCAGCCCTGAGCCTTTTCGGTTCTTTGCTGCTGAGACAGATGTAAGAATCCCTCAGACTCTTAATAAAGTGAAGGGCTCTGACAGACAGCTGCTCTCCCGCCGGCTTTGATCTGAGCTGTGTCCTCTCTCTCCTCATATACCACACCTGTCTGTCGATTGCCCAAACTGCTCTGAACAGAAGAGGGAGGGGAGGGAGGGGGAGGGAGGAGAGAGAGAGAGAGAGGAGCTTGTTTCCTTAAGCACACATCACTTTGGATAAGTTTGGACATGTTCTGAACAGGGCACTACGTCTGGGTGGACTTCTGTCTCAACCATAGACTGTGGAGAGAGAGAGAGAGGCCAGAGAGAGAGAGAGAGAGAGAGAGAGAGGGCAGAGAGAGGCCAGAGAGAGAGAGAGAGAGGGGGCAGAGAGAGAGAGAGAGGCCAGACAGAGGCCAGAGAGAGGCCAGACAGAGGCCAGAGAGAGGCCAGAGAGAGGCCAGAGAGAGAGAGAGAGAGAGAGGGCAGAGAGAGCTTATATCCAAGTATAACCTACATGGACAGAATGTACTTTCCCACATTTAGCCTGTGGCTCATACACAGGTGCTGTTCACAGTCCACTGATTCTGTATGTTCATCAGATCACTGCACTAACATCTGTGTGTCTCTGTGTCTCTCTGTGTGTGTGTCTCTGTGTGACTCTTGTGTGTCTCTGTCTGTCTCTGTATGACTCTGTTTGTCTCTGTGTGTCTCTGTGTCTCTCTGTGTGTCTCTGTGTGTCTCTGTGTGTCTCTGTATGACTGTGTCTCTCTGTGTGTCTCTGTATGACTGTGTCTCTCTGTGTGTCTCTGTGTGTCTCTGTATGACTCTGTTTGTCTCTGTGTGTCTCTGTCTCTGTGTCTCTCTCTGTGTCTCTGTGTGATTCTGTGTGTCTCTGTGTGATTCTGTGTGTCTCTGTGTGATTCTGTGTGTCTCTGTGTGATTCTGTGTGTCTCTGTGTGATTCTGTGTGTCTCTGTGTGATTCTGTGTGTCTCTGTATGACTGTGTCTCTCTGTGTGTCTCTGTATGACTCTGTTTGTCTCTGTGTGTCTCTGTCTCTGTGTGATTCTGTGTGTCTCTGTATGACTGTGTCTCTCTGTGTGTCTCTGTGTGATTCTGTGTGTCTCTCTGTGTGTCTCTGTCTGTCTCTGTGTCTCTGTGTGACTCTGTCTCTGTGTGACTCTGTGGTCCCAGCTCTACACCCCATTGTCTTGTGTCATCTTCATAACATCTGCATCTGCACGGCTCCATCTCACTCCACCCCCCTCCACACTGACAGCCTCAGGTAAGACCCATCCCCACAGGAACTAGAGACCACTAAATCCACACTGACTAGAGGCCACCCACGGTACTGCAACCTAAATGTAGAAAGTTAATTTTGCCTTCTTATGTTTATGGTACTGCACCTAAATCCACATGGACTAGAGGCCACCCGCGGTACTGCACCTAAATCCACATGGACTAGAGGCCACTCGTGGTACTGCAGTCTAAAACCATTGGATCTAAAAAACTATAGATTGAAAATGTCTGTTTTCAACTAAATTATCCACAGTTCACCATTGGGTCATCAAAAAGTCGATATATTTTGTCCCATTAGAATTGTCTTCTCTGGTCTCACTGTCTCTGGTCTCTCAGGTCTCTCAGGTCTCTCTCCGGTCTCTCTGGTCTCTGGTCTTACTGTCTCCTTGTCTCTCAGGTCTCTCTGGTCTCTCTGGTCTATCTGGTCTCTCAGGTCTCTCAGGTCTCTCAGGTCTCTCAGGTCTCTCTGGTCTCCCTGGTCTCTCTGGTCTCTCAGGTCTCTCTGGTCTCTCAGGTCTCTCAGGTCTCTCTGGTCTCTCTGGTCTTTCTGGTCTTTCTGGTCTCTCAGGTCTCTCTGGTCTCTCTGGTCTCTCTGGCCTCTCTGGTCTCTCAGGTCTCTCAGGTCTCTCTGGTCTCTCTGGTCTTTCTGGTCTTTCTGGCCTCTCAGGTCTCTCTGGTCTCTCTGGTCTCTCTGGCCTCTCTGGTCTCTCAGGTCTCTCAGGTCTCTCTGGTCTCTCTGGTCTCACTGTCTCCTTGTCTTTCAGGCCTCTTCCATCGAGCCATCGCTCAGAGTGGGACTGCCATCTCCAGCTGGTCTGTGAACTACCAGCCTCTGAAGTACACTAAGATCCTGGCCCGGAAGGTGGGCTGCACCTACACCGAGACCGCAGACCTGGTGGACTGTCTCCGCAGGAAGAACTTTAGAGAGCTAGTGGACCAGGACATCCAACCTGCACGCTACCACATCGCATTCGGACCAGTGGTGGACGGGGACGTGGTGCCGGATGACCCAGAGATACTCATGCAGCAGGTGAGCTTACATTAGGCAGCAGGTGAGCTAACATCATGCAGAGGGTGAGCTAACATGAGGCTAACAGGAGGTTTGTAATGTCTTTGAATAATATGAGGGACAGGAATCGCAATATATCACAGAATCGAATCACAAAACTGTCTTTATAGTTATATGTAAAGAATCCTCACATTTTTACCAGTTCTCACCACTAAGTGTCGATACTGAAAATATTGACAAAAACAGGACAACATTTCTTCAGTATTTCTGGAAACATAAATATTGTGTATATATACTTGTATTTATATGAAAAATGACTCGGCAAAACAGAACATGTCTGACCCACTGCAGCTGTACAACGGAACACTGCCCCCTGCTGTCCACAGACCATACTACATCATCTTTACATGTATAGAGACTAATATACACACACATACTCAGACACACACACATACTCAGACATACACACACACACACACACACATATACTCTCTCTCCCATACACACACACATACTCAGACAGACACACATATACTTAGACACACACACACACACACACACACACACTGTTTAATGATGTCTCTCATGAATGTGTCCTCCAACGACAAATACACCAAAACTCTGAACCTTGGGTCAGCAACAACAGACCTGGAGCTGTTTTTAGCTCCATCCAAGCAAACATCTGCAACTTCTGGTATAAATCACCATAAACACATCCCCCAACTCTTCTGTTTAACTGCTAATGCAAACCTGTACAGTAACACACACTTCCCTCTCTCATCCACCAGGGGGAGTGTGTTTGTCTGTGTGTGTGTGTCTCTATGTGCTATAGCTACAGTGACACCCTGTACTTCCCTCTCTCGTCAACCAGGGGGAGTTCCTGAACTATGACATGCTGATCGGAGTGAACCAGGGAGAAGGGATGAAGTTTGTGGACGACAGTGAAGACAACGAGGGCATCTCTGCAGCCGCCTTCGACTACACCATCTCCAACTTTGTGGACAACCTCTACGGATACCCAGAAGGTACATTTACTGTCACTGGGAGGACCCAAAAGGTCTATTTACTCTGTCACTGAGAGGACCCCAGAAGGTGCATTTACTCTGATACTGAGAGGACCCCAGAAGGTACATTTACTCTGTCACTGGGAGGACCCAAAAGGTCTATTTACTCTGTCACTGAGAGGACCCCAGAGGGTACATTTACTGTCACTGAGAGGACCCCAGAAGGTACGTTTACTCTGATACTGAGAGGACCCCAGAAGGTACATTTACTCTGATACTGAGAGGACCCCGGAAGGTACATTTACTCTGATACTGAGAGGACCCCGGAAGGTACATTTACTGTCACTGAGAGGACCCCAGAAGGTACATTTAATGTCACTGAGAGGACCCCAGAAGGTACATTGTGCAATATAAATAAACTTGCCTTGCCTTGCCTACATTTAATGTCGCTGAGAGGACCCCAGAAGGTACATTTACGGTACATCAGCAAGAAGGTCCTGGGTTTGAAACCCAGTCGGAACAGGGCCTTTCTGAGTGGAGTTTGCATTTTCTCCCCGTGTCTGCGTAGGTTTCCTCCGGGTGCTCCGGTTTCCCCTACCACTGAAAATATGCTCACTAGGTCAAATCCTCCAGGCCCGATAGTCCTGACCCTTATGCAGGGTTTGATTGATTTGGAAGTAGGCAAGGCAAGGCAAGGCAAGTTTATTTATATAGCACAATTCATACACAAGGCAACTCAAAGTGCTGAACAAAACAAGAAAGCATTAAAATCATAAATAATCACAGAACATTGAAAAGAAAGATAAAAGTATAAAATCCTTCAGTTTTATGCACAGCTAAACAGAACTGTCTTTAACCTGGTTTTAAACATTGTCAGAGAAGAGGCCTGTCTCTCAAGTACAGTTTTAATACCATTTTATATTAGAAGAGAACTATCAAAGGTTTAAAAATCATATTTTTTTTTTTGTCTGATCCCCCCAAATTGAGATAACCCCATAGCAACGCCCTTAGAAACGAAAACAATTCACAGCCTCTTGTCCCTTGTTGACGTCAGAGCGGGAACGGATGACAAGACGTGTACATAAAATTAGCTTCAAACCACAGGTTACATTGTCGCTGTGATAATCCAGCGGTTATGTCAGAGCACTGACATCCCAGCATATGGGGTTTGAATCCTTAAACTTCTGAATGTCTCTAAATAACAGTAAATCCGCCACCAAATTAATTTTACTTCACAGAAATGAAATGATCCGAGCATATTCGGACGTTCTGGAGGCTGTTGGTTTTTTGTTGTTGTGCCATTTCTCTCTCGTTTTTTGGAGATTTCTTCTGTTTTGGAGCCATGTGACGTAAGGACAGCTGGCAGTCGGTAAAACAACTTATTGTCCCTGTCTCCCCTATTGCTGCAGCCAAAAACGGCACAAAATGTGAACATATTTATGCGGTGCTGGGTGCACGCTACTACTACACTGCGTTTGCTTGTCCTCCAATATGGCGGAGGCCTCGCGACTTCAACCTCTTGTGACGTCACGCGAGAAATCTCTATAGTGACTCACAAGGCTCTGTCCTACACAAAAGATAACTTGTCAATGACAGCATGCAACAGAACATGTCTGACTGCTGCTATTCTTCATAATGGAACAGTGCCCCCTGGTGTACACACACCAGATTACATGTTCTATTTATACTCACCATACATACACACACTCTGGATTGTACTATTTGACTCTCTGGTCTCTAGTCCAGAGAGAGAGAGACCAGAGAGAAAGACCAGAGAGGTTCTATCCCAGTGACTCCTAGGGCACTTCTCAGACCTTCCTCTTTCTCACCCCCTCCTCTTCCTCGCAGGCAAAGACATCCTCCGAGAGACCATCAAGTTCATGTACACAGACTGGGCGGACCGGGACAACGGGGACATGAGGAGGAAGACTCTGCTCGCACTGTTCACAGATCACCAGTGGGTGGCGCCGGCGGTGGCTACAGCGAAGCTTCACGCCGAGTTCCAGTCTCCTGTCTTCTTCTACACATTCTACCACCACTGCCAGACGGAGGCGCGACCCGAGTGGGCGGATGCGGCGCACGGGGATGAGATCCCGTATGTGTTCGGCGTCCCCATGGTCGGAGCCACAGACCTGTTCCCCTGCAACTTCTCCAAGAACGACGTCATGCTCAGCGCCGTGGTCATGACCTACTGGACCAACTTTGCCAAGACCGGGTCAGTAACACCTGCTAATTATGCTAACGCTGCTAAAGCTAATCATGCTCGGAGTTGTGGTCATGACCTACTGGACCAACTTCGCCAAGACTGGGTACAGCTTTATTACCTGCTGAAGCTAACCATGCTAAAGCTAATGATGCCAAAGCTAATGATGCTCATACAAACGATTCTGATGCTAACCATGCTCAATGTAAGCCGCCAAAACCAGGTGAGAGACACCTGGTGAAGTTAATGATGCTGAAGCTAAGGATATTTAAACTAATGATGCTAAAGCTAACACGCAAAACCCTGGTGAGAGTTACTCCATCAGATTGAGAGACCAGAGAGAGACCAGAGAGACCAGAGAGAGACCAGAGAGAGACCAGAGAGAGACCAGAGAGAGACCAGAGAGACCAGAGAGACCAGAGAGACCAGAGAGAGACCAGAGAGAGACCAGAGAGAGACCAGAGAGAGACCAGAGAGACCAGAGAGACCAGAGAGACCAGAGAGACCAGAGAGACCAGAGAGACCAGAGAGAGACCAGAGAGAGACCAGAGAGAGACCAGAGAGAGAGACCAAAGCTGTTTCTTGCAGCTTTACCACCTCTGTTTTCACTCTGTTCGTTATCGGCGCTTTGATAAATAAGTAAGATGTGTTTTCCGTTTGTGTTACAGAGACCCCAACCTGCCGGTGCCCCAGGACACTAAGTTCATCCACACCAAACCCAACCGCTTCGAGGAGGTCATCTGGACCAAGTTCAACTCCAAGGACAAGCAGTACCTGCACATCGGCCTGAAGCCCCGCGTCCGAGACAACTACCGCGCCAACAAGGTGGCCTTCTGGTTGGAGCTGGTGCCGCACCTGCACAGCCTGCACGAGGAGCTGTTTCCTACCACCACCCGGTCCCCGGCAGGCTCAAACCCGGGCCCTCGCACCTGGCCCCGCACACCGGGGCCCCGCACCACCCGCCACCCATACCCCACTTTCCCCTCAGACCTGGAGCCTGAAGGTTCAGACCGGCCGGACCAGAACCTGTTCCCCTCCGACACGCGAGACTACTCCACCGAGCTGAGCGTGACGGTTGCTGTGGGCGCCTCGCTGCTGTTCCTCAACATCTTAGCGTTCGCCGCACTCTACTACAAGCGAGATAAGCGGCACGAGATGCGGCGGCACCGGCTGTCCCCTCAGCGCGGCACGGCGAATGACCTAGCGCACAGTCAGGAAGAGGAGATCATGTCGCTGCAGATGAAGCACTCGGAGCACGACCCGCACCACGACCTGGAGCCGCTGAGGCCTCACGACATCCTGCGGCCGTCCTGTCCGCCAGACTACACCTTGGCTCTGCGCCGCGCCCCGGACGACGTGCCCCTGATGACCCCCAACACCATCACCATGATCCCCAGCACCATCAGCAGCATGCAGCCGCTGCACGCTTTCAACACCTTCCCCAGCACGGGCCAAAACAACACGCTGCCGCATCCGCACTCCACCACACGGGTATAGTACATCCGGTGTGGGAGCTCAAAGGACCAGGGGAGGACCAGGGAGGTGAAAGGACCAGGAGCGCGCGGTCTCCCTGGTCTAATGCGGTGTGCGCTGGTCAAAAGACTCCATGGCTGCTTTAAAGAGACAGACCAGCGCGGAGACTTTGATCAGTTTCTCTTGGAAAGACTTCGTAATAAGGGACAACTCGTGTTTGTCATTTCTGTCCTTGACGTCTTTTAGCTTTTGGTTGTTTTTATTATTAAAGTGAATGTCTGTAAGTTTATAAACAAAGGGAGGAGTGACAATTTTTATAAGGTAATTTGTCGTCTTCCCTAACACAGACGTACCACCTTCCTTGAGCTAGCAGGTTAGCATTGAGCTAGCAGGTTAGCATTGCCCTTCTACATACAGTCTATACAGAAAGAGATGATGGATGACGTCAGATAGTTTGATGACCCGTGACTAGCTTTACATTCTAACCCGTTAGCATTGAGCTAGCAAGTTATTCTGGTGTCAGTTATTCTGGTGACTAGCTTTACATCCTAGCCTTGAACCAGGTGGTCACAAAAAGTCTTCTGAAAACATGAAATACGTTTGAACTTACAGACATTCTCTTTAATTTTGTTTGACTTGCGTGAGCTTTGTAGCTATCAGTTAGTCTGACGAATACCGCTGTTTGTCAAGTTTTATTTCTACAGCGATCCGGGAGTTTCAATGGATTTAACTGGAGCAAAGGCTAAGCTACCTCTGGGGACGTCGCCCGGTGTCCGGTCGCCCGGTGAACTGTGACACAAAGCAACCTGTTTTTGAACCATAGACTGTCTATGACGAGTGGACTGAGTGTGACATCACCACCGTGTGACATCACCACAGTGTGACATCACCACAGAGTTAGTCTCGATGCAGAAAAAGGCATTATAAGCATAAGCCCGCTGGAGTAGCAGAGGCAGACATGTTGCTAAGACGGTTGCTAAGGCAATATGATTGGTCAATCCTAATATAAGCCAATTGGAGGCAGACCGAGTTGAGCTAGCGGGTTAGCATTGAGCTAGTAGTGGGATAGCATTGATAAAAGTATTTTCTATTTACTAAAAAGACAAGATGAACCTTCCTAGACCGTTGGTAACATTGAGCTCGTGGGTTAGCATAGAGCTAACAGGTTACCAATGCCCTTCTACATACAGTCTATACAGAAACAGACGGTAAATGACGTCAGATAGTTTGATGACCCATGACTAGCTTTACATTCTAACTGACTCCCATTCAGCTACTGGGTTAGCATCGAGCTAGCGGGTTAGCACAGTCCTTCTGTATGCAGTTTGGTTCATGGTGCAGGTTGTGGTGCTCACAGGGCTTCCACACCAGCTCGTCCCCAGCTCCTCCTTTATCCTACCAGCATTCAGACTTATGGTCCAGACTTATGGTTCAGACTTTATGGTCCAGACTTATTGTTCAGAATTTATGGTTCTCATGGAGTGACAGGAAAAGAAAGTCCTACTTCACTGAAACATGCTGTGTCTTCATGACTGCCAAACTGGGCCTTGATTGTGCTCTCTCGTTTTTTCAATATCTTTTGTGTGTGTCGAACATTTGTTGTTCTTTTTGGGGGGAAAAGACAAAAAAACACCTTTTTGATGAAAATATAGACATAGAAAAATCATATTATATATAGTTCTATATAAAAGTGTACAAAGAAAGTATATTAATGTATGTTTTTTTCTCAGTGGGGAACTATGCATGTGGTGGAGAGAAGGTCAGTGCACGTTTAGTCATGTTCAACTCATGCGCCCCGTTTCCACCGACCCTACCCTACTGTACTCTACTGTACTCTACACTACTCTACTGTACTCTACACTACTCTACTCGACTCTACTCTACTCTACCCTACTGTACTCTACACTACTCTACTGTACTATACACTACTCTATTCTACTATGCTCTACACTACTGTACTCTACACTACTCGACTGTACTCTACACTACTCTACTCGACTCTACTCTACTCTACCCTACTGTACTCTACACTACTCTACTGTACTATACACTACTCTATTCTACTATGCTCTACACTACTGTACTCTACACTACTCGACTGTACTATACACTACTCTACTCTACTCTACTCTACCCTACCCTACTCTACTCTACTCTACTCTACCCTACCCTACTCTACTCTACTCTACTCTACTCTACTCTACCCTACTCTACCCTACTCTACTCTACCCTACTCTACTCTACCCTACCCTACCCTACCCTACCCTACCCTACCCTACCCTACTCTACTCTACCCTATGAAGAAGATGGCATAGTCTGGGATCGCGTCTTTCATTCAGACAGAAGACATGTTTTATTGTCGATGGTAGAGACAGCACGAGCACAGATACAATAGAATGCAGTGTATTATACAGAGCGGAGGCATGGAGACCTCCAATCAGCAGCTGCCACGGTGCCATGTAGCTTGGCCTTCAGATAGACAAAACAAGGGAAAAGTACTGGCTTCTGCACATTGATAGAATGATGAGTTTAACTTTAACAAAAGTTGCTTCAAAGTGTTATGAAATCTCACACCTACTCTACTCTCCTCTACTTAGCTCTATCACAACAAAACAGTATCCGGGGAAATTCTTAGGAACACTTTGCACCAACTTGGCCTGGATAGAACCAGGACCAAGACGGACTAAAGAAGGACCTGGTACTGGTTACACAGGACCAGTAGAGTAGAGTAGGGTAGAGTAGAGTAGCTTAGGATTGGGTTGGGTAGGGTATTGTAGGGTAGGTAGGGTAGGGTTGGTGGAAACAGGGCTAAACAAACCGGTCTGTATTATTTGCAGTACTCTCATGTCTCTGTACAGTTTTACAGCTGTTCTGATCTGGTTTCTGCACAAAGTATTTTTATACAAAGGCTGAGAATCAAAGAAGGCCCAGGTCTGAGCACATGGGGTCGCGGCTCCACTGGTCCGGGCTGGAGGGCGTCTACACTTTTGTTTATCTTTATGGATTCAACGACGACCAAGCAACAAACCTTTAGCTCAGATCATTTTAAAGTTTATGTAGCAAGGATCAGCATTTACAAACAACCTGGCATAAAGAATCCCACAATATACAGACCGTGCTGGGGTGTTTGAGATTCAGGTTCACAGTTCTCTCTCTCTGGTCTCTAGTATCTCTTTCTGGCCTCTCCTCTCTCTCTCTGGTCTCTAGTTTCTCTCTCTGATCTCTCTCTCCCTCTGGTCTTTGTCTCTGGTGTTTCTCTGTGTCTACTGCTTTTCAGTTCTGTGGCTTTTACAACAGGCACTTCCGGCGGCCTGGTAAATCAAGACCCCGCTCAAAATCAGTATAAATTCTCCTCACATCTGTTAAACCTCCAGGGGGCGCCTTTAGCACAAACAATCCTTGAAAAGTCGCTCAGAAAGTTGCGGTATTTTAAAACATATATGTGCATTTTTCAGATTTCATGAAAGAATGTAATATTTAATCAAATCCAAGCATTTTTATTTCTTTGTGGACGAGCTCAGATCTCTCCTAAACAGGGTAATTCACAATCAGCTTTAGATTCATAATTTTTGCCAATTTTCCTCCACAAACGCAGCTAATATCACAAAATATGTTTCGAGTTAGAATCAGATACAGAATTTTAATTTCACTGCTGAAGTTTGCCGACTCCCACGGATCGAGAAATGTGCACAATGTAAAAAGAGTAGTGGACCGAGGATAGAACCCTGAGGGACCTCTCTCCTGGGGGAGGGGCTAACTCACCTTGGGGTGGAGCTAACTCATTCAGAGGAGGGGCTAAATCACCTGGAGGAGGGGCTAACCAGGGGTACACTGACAGCCTTAACCAGACCAAACCAGACCAAACAAACAAACCGTCTCCAACGAGGACTTATTTTGTAGCGGATTCACAGCGTTTGGACTAAAGCAGATCCCGGAGCGACCGCTGGACTTTGTGAAGCGAATATTTGTAAATATGAGTTTCTGGGTTATTTTTGTGAATGAATGAAATGCTTATCTTTGTGTAAAAGACAACAGCTGCATGTTGCAAAAAGTCAGTTCTAGAATCTTCTGTCTCTCATTCCACAGATTTACTTTGGATCCAACGGTTTTTCATTTATCAAACTGAAGCCCCAGGTCCACCAGATCTACTCTGCTCTGCTCTGCTCTGCTCTGCTCTACTCTACTCTACTCTACTCTACTCTACTCTACTCTACTCTACTCTACTGGACACTACTCTTAATGTACTCTACTCTACCCGGTTGTTATTATGTTTTAGTACCCTGGCAACCTATACCACAACAAACCAGTATCTGGGAAAATTCCAGCAACACTCTGACTGCTGGAAGCCACAGTGAGTAGAGTAGAGTAGAGTAAAGTAGAGTAGAGTAGAGCTGGTGGAGACGGGGCTTAAGAACCAAACGATGTGTCTTATAAAATGTAATCAATATTCTCCCCATGATGATCAAATACATTTCACTTTAATGGTTTTACCACATTAAATACATTTGTTGTACAGACGTCTGATGTTTTATTTAGGACTGAGTCTGTAGACCCAGGACTGAGGCTGTAGACCCAGGACTGAGGCTGTGAGGCTGTAGACCCAGGACTGAGGCTGTAGACCCAGGACTAAGGCTGTAGACCCAGGACTGAGGCTGTAGACCCAGGACCAAGGCTGTAGACCCAGGCTGTAGACCCAGGACTAAGGCTGTAGACCCAGGACTGAGGCTGTAGACCCAGGACTGAGGCTGTAGACCCAAGAGACTCAAACCTCACAGTAACATGCCTGTGGTCTCGTACTCTGTGCAGAATGACTCATTATTAAATTCACAAATCCTTTAATCTTGCTGCGTGTTTATAGTGTTGTGCTTTATGGTTCTCTCGATGATGTCATCTGAGGGACCGAGCCCACGACCACCTCCTCCACGCCTCCTCCACGCCTGGGATGGTCCTGTCACCTGGATCCTGGTCCAAGAGTTTCTTCTGAAAACAACTGTTTGTATTTAACAGCAGAAGCATGAGTCGCACTGACATCATTATGACAACGGGTGTCTGGAGCAGCAGCAGTAGTGGTAGAAGCAGTAGTAGCAGCAGCAGCAACAGCAGCAGTAGCAGTAGTAGTAGTGGCAGCAGCAGGAGTAGCAGCAGCAGTAGCAGTAGTAGTAGTAGCAGCAGCAGTAGCAATAGCAGTAGTAGCAACAGCAGTAGTAGTAGCAGCAGCAGTAGTAGTAGCAACAGCAGTAGTAGTAGTAGCAGCAGGAGTAGCAGCAGTAATAGTAGTAGTAGCAGCAGTAATAGTAGCAGTAGTAGTAATAGTAGCAGCAGCAGTAGTAGCAGCAGCAGGAGTAGCAGTAGTAGTAATAGTAGTAGTAGCAGCAACAGCAGCAGTAGCAACAGCAGTAGTAGTAGCAGCAGCAGGAGTAGCAGTAGCAGTAGTAGTAATAGTAGTAGTAGCAGCAGTATTAGTAGCAGTAGTAGTAGTAGCAGCAGTAGTAGTAGCAGTATTAGTAGTAGTAGTAGTAGCAGTAGTAGTAATAGTAGTAGTAGTAGCAGCAGGAGACACACACTTCCTGGTTCTTTGACTCATGAGCTGATGTTGTTCCCAGACCAGCGCCTCTTCAGGGACGTGACTCGTCTTTCCATGTTTCCGTAGCGACCACTGGCCCCAGACCAAAAGGAAAGTATGTTTAACCTTAAATGGAGAAAACCACAGCTCTACTTTCATTAATCACACCCAGAACCTGGCAACCCAGTGATGTCACAACTGACACATGACTCACGGATCTGGACTTTACAGTTTAATACATAATATCTGTAGATTTATATAGAACCCCAAAGAAGAGGGACCAGGAGAGACCAGAGAGGGAGAGCAGAGAGAGACCAGGGGGAGTCCAGAGAGGGAGAGCAGAGAGAGACCAGGGGGAGTCCAGAGAAGGAGAGCAGAGAGAGACCAGGGGGAGTCCAGAGAGGGAGAGCAGAGAGAGACCAGGGGGAGTCCAGAGAGGGAGAGCAGAGAGAGACCAGGGGGAGTCCAGAGAGGGAGAGCAGAGAGAGACCAGGGGGAGTCCAGAGAGAGACCAGGGGGAGTCCAGAGAGGGAGAGCAGAGAGAGACCAGTGGGAGTCCAGAGAGAGACCAGGGGGAGTCCAGAGAGGGAGAGCAGAGAGAGACCAGGGGGAGTCCAGAGAGGGAGAGCAGAGAGAGACCAGGGGGAGTCCAGAGAGGGAGAGCAGATGACGACAGAACAAACAGTCTGTGTTTTGAGCTGGTTCATGACCACATGGTGTGGTTTATCTTGATGGTCTTTGCTCATATTGGTGTTAGTTCCTGTCGCTGAGATTAAGGTCTGAAACTGAGACAGACACATCACGTCACTGTCAAAGAGCTTCTCCTCGCGTGCCTCGTCTGAGCTGCGGTCTCGTTCTGGTCTTAAAGTCTTCATCCAACCACGCTGTTTGTTGTGGCCGAGTGTTAGAATCCACAAATGAACCACAGTCTATTACAGAGAGGGATCAGAGAGAGACCAGAGAGAGACCAGAGAGAGACCAGAGAGAGACCAGAGAAAGACCAGAGAAAGACAAGAGAGAGACCAGAGAGAGTCATTACTCCATGTTATTCAGTAAAGATCATATTCATTACAATGTTTTCAAAATGTTACTTCCTCAGAGCCGTGACTCAGAGGGAATCTCTTTCTGGTCTCTCTCTGGTCTCTCCCTCTCTAGTCTCTCTCTGGTATCTCTCTGGTCTTTCTGGTCTCTCTCTGATCTCTCTCTGGTATCCCTCTGGTCTCTCTCTGGTCTCTCTCTAGTCTCTCTCTGGTCTCTCTCTGGTCTCTCTCTGGTCTCTCTCTGGTCTCTCTCTAGTCTCTCTCTGGTCTCTCTCTGGTCTCTCTCTCTGGTCTCTCTCTGGTCTCTCTCTGGTCTCTCTCTGGTCTCTCTCTGGTCTCTCTCGTCTTTCTCTGGTCTCTCTCTGGTCTCTCTCTGGTCTCTCTCTAGTCTCTCTCTGGCCTCTCTCTAGTCTCTCTCTGGTCTCTCTCTCTGGTCTCTCTCTGGTCTCTCTCTGGCCTCACTCTGGTCTCTCTCTGGTCTCTCTCTCTAGTCTCTCTCTGGTCTCTCTCTGGTCTCTCTCTGGTCTCTCTCTGGTCTCTCTCTAGTCTCTCTCTGGTCTCTCTCTGGTCTCTCTCTCTAGTCTCTCTCTGGTCTCTCTCTGGTCTCTCTCTGGTCTCTCTCTGGTCTCTCTCTGGTCCCTCTCTCTGGTCTCTCTCTCTGGTATCTCTCTGGTCTCTCTCTGGTCTCTCTCGTCTTTCTCTGGTCTCTCTCTGGTCTCTCTCTGGTCTCTCTCTGGTCTCTCTCTCTGGTCTCTCTCTGGTATCTCTCTGGTCTCTCTCTGGTCTCTCTCGTCTTTCTCTGGTCTCTCTCTGGTCTCTCTCTGGTCTCTCTCTAGTCTCTCTCTGGCCTCTCTCTAGTCTCTCTCTAGTCGCTCTCTGGTCTCTCTCTAGTCTCTCTCTGGTCTCTCTCTAGTCTCTCTCTAGTCTCTCTCTGGTCTCTCTCTCTCTAGTCTCTCTCTGGTCTCTCTCTAGTCTCTCTCTGGCCTCTCTCTAGTCTCTCTCTGGTCTCTCTCTCTCTAGTCTCTCTCTGGTCTCTCTCTAGTCTCTCTCTAGTCTCTCTCTGGTCTCTCTCACTCTAGTCTCTCTCTGGTCTCTCTCTGGTCTCTCTCTATTCTCTCTCTAGTCTCTCTCTGGTCTCTCTCTGGTCTCTCTCTGGCCTCTCTCTATTCTCTCTCTGGTCTCTCTCTGGTCTCTCTCTGGTCTCTCTCTATTCTCTCTCTAGTCTCTCTCTGGTCTCTCTCTGGTCTCTCTCTGGTCTCTCTCTATTCTCTCTCTGGTCTCTCTCTGGTCTCTCTCTGGTCTCTCTCTATTCTCTCTCTAGTCTCTCTCTGGTCTCTCTCTGGTCTACAGCCTCAGTCCCGCTCCCGCTCCCTTTGGACCAATGGCTCTGTGTTTTTATTATTGCATTTATCTGTTTGATTTTCTGATCTGTTGTTGGTGAATCGACACTAAACCAGTAGAGGAATGACACACACAGACACGAGGAGGACACACAACATGAGGACACACAACAGGAGGACACACAACATGAGGAGATAGTGTTTTCCAGATGCAGAGTCACAGGAAGTGAGCGAAGCTGGAATGAATGTGAATTATTCACATTTTTGGAAAGTTTTAGGTCAAATTAAAAACAAATGTTTATTTTTAGCTTCAGGAAAAGTCCTGTCACAGCCTGAGTCACTGTTATCAGGGCATCCTGTGTGTGTGTGTGTGTGTGCGTGCGTGTGTGTCTCTGTGTCTGTGTGGGTGTGCGTGTGTGTGTGATGTTTTTGTTATATTGAAGTCTAAACACAATGGTAATAAGAGACACACCTTTAACACCATGTATGAGGGTCCCTCTGGTCTCTCTCTAGTCTCTCTCTGGTCTCTCTCTGGTCTCTCTCTGGTCTGTCTCTGGTCTCTCTCTAGTCTCTCTGGTCTCTCTCTGGTCTCTCTCTGGTCTCCCTCTGGTCTCTCTCTGGTCTCACTCTGGTCTCTCTCTAGTCTGTCTCTGGTCTCTCTCTGGTCTCTCTCTGGTCTCTCTCTGGTCTGTCTCTGGTCTGTCTCTGTTTTCTCTCTGGTCTCTCTCTAGTCTCTCTCTAGTCTCTCTCTAGTCTCTCTCTGGTCTTTCTCTGGTCTCTCTCTGGTCTCTCTCTAGTCTCTCTCTAGTCTCTCTCTAGTCTCTCTCTGGTCTTTCTCTGGTCTCTCTCTGGTCTCTCTCTAGTCTCTCTCTAGTCTCTCTCTAGTCTCTCTCTGGTCTCTCTCTGGTCTCTCTCTGGTCTCTCTCTGGTCTCCCTCTGGTCTCCCTCTGGTCTCTCTCTAGTCTCTCTCTAGTCTCTCTCTGGTCTCTCTCTGGTCTCTCTCTGGTCTCTCTCTGGTCTCCCTCTGGTCTCTCTCTAGTCTCTCTCTGGTCTCCCTCTGGTCTCTCTCTGTGCTCGTCCCGCTCCCTTTGGACCAGTGTCTATGTGTGTGGACTGATTTTCTAATCTGCTGTTGGTGAATCTGTGGAACCATTGAGCAAAATAAAGAAGTTAGTGTGAGAGTGGAAAGAGAGGAAGTGTGAGCAGACAGAGCCATGACATCACCATCAGTAACTGTGTGTGAGGAGGGGGGGGGGGGGGGGGGGTGGAGGGGAGGAGGAGGAGAGGAGGAGGAGGGGGAGGAGGAGGAGAGGAGGAGGAGGGGGAGGAGGAGGGGGAGAGTATATAGCACAGACTCTCTCCAGGACCTTCACTCTTTGGACGCAGCAGCAGCAGATCTTCGTCTCGTCCTTTTCAAAGTGAGTTCTATGTTTTAATATATTACTGTTTTATTGAGCAAAAACTGTTTATGGCATTATTTTAACGAACAGTATGGTCTCTCTCGCTCTGGTCTCTTACCTTTCTCTCACTCTCTCAGGTTTCTCTCTTGGCAGGTCTGTCTCTGGTCTCACTCTTTCTGGTCTGTCCCTCTGGTCTCTCTCCCTGGTTTCTCTCTCTGGTCTACCTCTCTGGTCTCTCTGGTCTCTCTCTGGTCTTTCTCTCTGGTCTCTCTGGTCTCTCTCTGGTCTTTCTCTCTCTGGTCTCTCTCTCCCTGGTCTTTCTCTCTCAGATCAGATTCAGATTCATTTATTTGCCATTTGCAGTAAAACCACATAGGAAAAACTGTGCAAGACTACCCCAGTGTGCACCAGACAACACACACCAGAGCTCTTGCCACGGCGCCATCTTTACGGCGCCATGCGTCTCTGGTCTCTCTATGGTCTCTCTCTCCCTGGTCTCTCTCTCTGGTCTCTCTCTCTCTGGTCTTTCTCTCTCTGGTCTCTCTCTGGTCTCTCTCTCTGGTCTCTCTCTCTCTGGTCTCTCTCTCCCTGGTCTTTCTCTCTCTGGTCTCTCTCTCCCTGGTCTTTCTCTCTCTGGTCTCTCTATGGTCTCTCTCTCTGGTCTCTCTCTCCCTGGTCTTTCTCTCTCTGGTCTCTCTATGGTCTCTCTCTCCCTGGTCTCTCTCTCTGGTCTCTCTCTCTCTGGTCTTTCTCTCTCTGGTCTCTCTCTCTGGTCTCTCTCTCTCTCTGGTCTCTCTCGCTTTCTGGTCTCTCTCTCTCTGGTCTCTCTCCCTGGTTGCCCTCTCTCAGCCAATCAGCTGTCCGCTCAAAGAGACAGAGACTGACAGAAAAATATACAAGATTCTAAGTGAAGGACCCGAGTACACACAGGTCTCAGCCTGACGCACACATGTTACACCAAGAACACACACCTGGTCTGACGCACACATGGACTGGAGAAAAACAACCACAATACTGATCTCTCTTTGGTCTCTCTCTCTGGTTTCTCTGGTCTCTCTCTCGTTTCTCTGGTCTCTCTCTGGTCTCTCTCTGGTCTCTCTTTGGTCTCTCTCTCTGGTTTCTCTGGTCTCTCTCTGGTCTCTCTACGGTCTCCCTCTGGTCTCTCTCTCTCTGGTCTCCCTCTGGTCTCTCTCTGGTCTCTCTCTCTGGTCTCTCTCTCTCTGGTCTCCCCCTGGTCTCCCTCTGGTCTCTCTGGTCTCTCTCTCTGGTCTCTCTCTGGTCTCCCTCTGTTCTCTCTCTGGTCTCCCTCTGGTCTCCCTCTGGTCTCTCTGGTCTCTCTCTCTGGTCTCTCTCTGGTCTCCCTCTGGTCTCTCTCTGGTCTCTCTCTGGTCTCTCTCTGGTTTCTCTGGTCTCCCTCTGGTCTCCCTCTGGTCTTTCTACGGTCTCCCTCTGGTCTCTCTCTCTGGTCTCTCTCTGGTCTCTCTCTGGTCTCTCTCTGGTTTCTCTGGTCTCTCTCTGGTTTCTCAGGTTTCTCTCTGGTCCCAGGTGTGAGTAGGTTTAATGACTCAGAGCTGGGGCTTGAACCCACAACCTCTCCCTTAAACCAGATGGAACTGACGCTGCATGGTTCTATGGTTTTATGGTGCGGAGGCGGAGGACAATAAACCCCAGACCACTGTATTTAGACCAAGACCAGGATTATGAAACCGGTCTGGGTGGTCTACAGCTGTGAGACATGTGACCACAAACTGTACACTATGGACGATGCTAACACGCTTGCTCAATGAAGCCCAATAGAGAAGTGCTCATGGTGAAGTTTGGCTCCTAATGACTTCATGTAAAAGTAAACTCCTCAGTAACCAGAGAAAGAGAGAGGCCAGAGAGAGACCAGAGAGAGACCAGAGAGAGACCAGAGAGAGGCCAGAGAGAGACCAGAGAGAGACCAGAGAGAGACCAGAGAGAGACCAGAGAGAGGCCAGAGAGAGACCAGAGAGAGACCAGAGAGAGGCCAGAGAGAGACCAGAGAGAGGCCAGAGAGAGGCCAGAGAGAGACCAGAGAGAGACCAGAGAGAGACCAGAGAGAGACCAGAGAGAGACCAGAGAGAGGCCAGAGAGAGGCCAGAGAGAGGCCAGAGAGAGACCAGAGAGAGGCCAGAGAGAGGCCAGAGAGAGGCCAGAGAGAGGCCAGAGAGAGACCAGAGAGAGACCAGAGAGAGACCAGAGAGAGACCAGAGAGAGACCAGAGAGAGGCCAGAGAGAGGCCAGAGAGAGACCAGAGAGAGACCAGAGAGAGACCAGAGAGAGACCAGAGAGAGACCAGAGAGAGACCAGAGAGAGACCAGAGAGAGACCAGAGAGAGGCCAGAGAGAGGCCAGAGAGAGACCAGAGAGAGACCAGAGAGAGACCAGAGAGAGACCAGAGAGAGGCCAGAGAGAGGCCAGAGAGAGGCCAGAGAGAGACCAGAGAGAGACCAGAGAGAGACCAGAGAGAGGCCAGAGAGAGGCCAGAGAGAGGCCAGAGAGAGACCAGAGAGAGGCCAGAAAGAGACCAGAGAGAGGCCAGAGAGAGGCCAGAGAGAGGCCAGAGAGAGGCCAGAGAGAGACCAGAGAGAGACCAGAGAGAGACCAGAGAGAGGCCAGAAAGAGACCAGAGAGAGGCCAGAGAGAGGCCAGAGGGAGAATATCAGGACTCCAGCTAATGTTTAAATTAATGCTAACACTGTGGTGATGTCACACTGTGATGTCACAGCTGGGTGGTCTGTGGGACATGTGGAGGATCTACACAAAGAACTGAGTGTTGAGACGGGAGGCGGGCTCAGTGGGTGGGCCAAACACAGGGAGGAATGGGCCAAAACATCCAGGAGCCACTGAGCCATTCATGTAGAAGCATGGCTAACCACAACTATGACCTCACAAAGAACAGTTTTCTGCCTCTATCAGTTTGGGCAGCTGCTCCGGGGGAAACAAAACAATGAATGAACTTAGAAGCATTGCTAATCCCAGTTTTAGAAGCGTGGCTAACCAGGGTTGTTGTTACAGAATGCTGTCCCTGCTGTGCCTCCTGCTCAGCCCGGTCCTGGTGCTCTCCTCGCTCCCTGAGGCTCAGACAGACTTCGGCTTCAGACTCTTCTCAGCTTTGGTTCAGGACCGTTCCAACCACAGTCTGGTGTTTTCTCCTGTGGGAATCACTGCAGTTCTGTCTATGGTCCAGCAGGGGGCGTCCGGACACACACACAGAGCCCTGACGGAGGCCATGGGATACTCCCTCAGAGGTACGTCACCACTTAGAAGCACTGCTAACCACTGCACACAGGACTTAGAAGCATGGCTAACCACTTCAAACCTGTACAGAGGACTTAGAAGCATAGCTAACCACTTCAAACCTATATAAATCACTTTGTAGCACGCTCACATCTCCACACCTGTATAGAGGGATCCTACGGTCACGTGACTAGCAGCCACTGCAGCCATACTGGAGGACAACCTCGGCGAGTAACAGCCCTGCTTGCTATCTATAACTGGACGTTCAAAACTAGAACTCTCTCGAACTACATGAAAACTGAACATAGAATTTGAAACTTCAGCAGTTAGTGACCCAAATATATACTCAACATAAATTCATGAATCAGATCCTCTGGAAATGCATCCTAAAATGTATTATTAATGTTTATCGTTACATCCAGGTTTACCGCGGTCGCATATTGTCGCATTAAAACAGTGTTTTTTCATGAAAACGAGAACAGAAAATTCTGAAAACCTCTGTGCACGTGTATTAAGAATGTATATGTATAATGTATTCTCCGCTTAACATTTAATGTGCTTATTGTTACACCATTGATCTATGTGTGGCTACACTGCAGTGGAAATAATGAGATTACATTCAAATCAATGGAGCTTTCTGCGTCTACTGTGAGGAGCCGTATATTTTATTAATAAATACTAGTACGGGGCACCCTGGAGCACGGCTCAGTCGTTCACATGTCTGCTGGCCTTCGGTAAGTCAGATACCCTGTGAACCGGGTGAGGTCCTGTGTGAGACCAAATATATAACAGCTATGCTACAAGCTAAGCTACAGTCTATGGAGCAACCCCACGTTGCAGTCAGACAGATATGTTTTATCCTTAAACTTCTGTTTGTTTTGGAATAACACTAAATCCGCCATCAAATTGATTTCACTTAGCAGAAATGAAATGATCCGAGCATATTCGGGCGCTCTGGGGGCTATTAGTTTTTTGTTGTTGCGTATGGTTGTGCCATTTCTCTCTCGTTTCTTTGAGATTTCTTCTGTTTTTGAGCCGTGTGAAGTAAGGACGGCTGGCAGTCGGTAACACAACTTATTTTCCCTGTCTCTCCTTTTGCTGCAGCCAAAAACGGCAAACATTTTGAACATGTTTATGCGGTCCCGGGTGCACGCCACTACCATACAGCGTTTGCTTGTCCTCCAGTATGGCGGATGCCCCGCGAGTTCGAGGCATCGTGACGTCACGTGAGATATCTCTATAGAGCACTTAGCAGCAGAGCTAACCCTTTCACACCTGTAGCAGCAGAGCTAATCCCTCCACACCTGTAGTAACAGAGCTAACCTCCCCTTTGTCCTGCAGAGCGGGGCCTGGCCCGGCAGCAGCGCCTCCTGCTGGCCCGGCTGTCTCAGGTCACAGACTCTGCGTCCGGGTTGTTTCTGGAGAGAACTCTGTCTTTGGGGAAAAGCTTCAGACGATCTTTGAACAAAGCATTTAGCAGCAGCGCGCACCAGGTGGACCTCAGCAGACCAGAAGAGGCCCGGGAGGTCATCAACGCCTGGGTGTCCGACCACACACATGGTAGGAGCACTGCTAACCACTCACACACATGTTAGGAGACCTGCTAACCACTCACACACATGTTAGGAGCACTGCTAACCACTACACACAGAGTGAGGAGGTTAGCTTAACATTATTATGATTATTAATCATAATAATCATAATAATAATAATCATAATAATAAAGAAGTGTAAATCCTGTATATTCTAGAACATAAATGTACAGCTGTGTTTAATAATAATAATAATAATGTATTGGTTTTATAAAGCGCTTTTTTGGACACTCAAAGACGCTTCACATGTTATTCTTTCACTCCGTACACGGTGGTGATAAACTACTACTGTAGCCACAGCTGCCCTGGGGCACACTGACAGAAGCGAGGCAACCAGTATGCGCCATCGGCCCCTCCGACCACCACCAACCATTCACACACACACCAGACTCATTCTAGGCAATGGGGGTGAAGTGTCTTGCCTAAGGACACAACGGCAGTTTGGCACTTTACAGCCGCAGCCGCCCCACTGTTACATCTGTACATTAGCAGCACGAGGCAGAGACACATGGTTCTCTGTGATCCTGGTGTTTATAAGGCTCACACGGTGGTGATGACACACTCCTCACTCCCTGCTGTGGTTGTAGGGGCCATCCCGGACTTCCTGGCCCCCGGGTCTCTCTCTGAGGAGACTCGGCTGCTGCTGCTGAATGCACTACACTTCCACGGCCGCTGGAGGGCGCCCTTCGACCGCCGCATGACGCACGAGAGGATGTTCCACTGCGCCAACGGCAGCAGTGCCACGGTCCACATGATGAGAATCACCGAGAGGTTCCAGTACGGTGAGGACACACACACACACACATGCACACAGACACACACAGATACACACAAACACACACACACACACAGAGAGAGACTGGTCACACTCTAGTCACACTCTAGTCTCACTCTGGTCTCACTCTGGTCTCACTCTGGTCTCACTCTGGTCTCACTTTGGTCTCACTTTGGTCTCTCCTGGTCTCACTCTGGTCTCACTCTGGTCTCAGGTGAGTTTGTGAGCTCTGACGGTCTGGACTATGATGTCATCGAGGTGCCGTACCAGGTGGAGGACCTGAGTCTGCTGCTGGTGTCTCCCTTCGAGCCTGAGGTCCCTCTGAGCGCCCTCTCCACAGATCTGACCAGTCACACTCTGAGGAGGTGGAGGCAGGGGATGAGGACTGTGAAGAAGCAACTGGCCCTGCCCAGGTGAGAGTTAGGAGCACCGCTAACCACCTCTGAGGCTGACCACTCTACACAACCACTTCACATACTGTGTGTGTGTGTGTGTGTGTGTGTGTGTGTGTGTGTGTGTGTGTGTGTGTGTGTGTGTGTGTGTGTAATCTTGTGTAACAATCTGAGTGTCCAAAGAAGCACTATATAAAACCAATGTGTTGTGTATATTGTATTAACTGTGGTGTTTGTGTTGCCAGATTCACTCTTGTGTCTGATCTCAACATGAAGAAGGTTCTGACCAACATGGGGCTGGGAAACATGTTCAACCTGGCAACCGCGGACTTCACCCGCATCACCAGTAAGAATACAGCAGAGGGAGAGCCCGGGATTCATGCAATGTCCACACGTAGCCGGGTATTTTTAAAACTGAATATTTCCCCCCCTCCGTTTATAAAATAAATTGCATCCACACAAAACCGAACATCTGCGTTTTCAATCACATTCTTTACATTCCAAACATGTGCGTCTCTGACGTCCTGCGTTGGGGAAAAACACAGAAGTGGGCGGAGCTCATGGATCTATTATAATAACTGGATAGGGTATTACTAGCTTGTAGCTGAATAACCCACGTGCTCAGGGGATTCGCGCGGTACTGCAGACTGAACCAGACTAAATTCACGTGTGCTACACAGAAATTTTCCCCATAGAACTCAATGCATATTAAAACAGCTCGACCTCAGCTGACAGAGAACCTACAGCTTTCATAAAGGTCGGATTTTGTGGGGATTTTAGTGTCACTTGTCATTTCTTCTTAAATCCTTTGGTTTTGTTTAAATCCACACTTCAGTGCCACAAACTCTGCTCGTCTGGCTCTCGCTCTAACTCCCGCTCTGATGAACTGCTCTGATTGGTCAGAGCGCGGCCGAGCCCCTCTGTGCACGTGCGTGAGACCCGGTGTGAGACCCACACACGTGTGTTTGACGCAACGCATTATGGGAGATCATCCACTGCACAGAACCGGGAGGACCAGACGATGCCCAAATACAGGCGAGTTTCCCAAAGTTCTTTGCGAGTTCCAGGCGACTTCCGCTAATCTTTTCAGCCCCCATGCTGTCACAAAGCGCCACTGAGCACAACCATTTAGGGCGCCATCTTGGATCGCCGGGGCCTGGTGGAGCTTTGATGCTGACGCCGGTACTTCTGTCGAGAAGTACACCCATGTCGAGATTTGAAATGTGCCTCCTCACCCGCCAAAAGCAACTGTCCATAGCTTAGTCATTATGAATCTTTACTTATTAAACATGTCAACATATTTATGATTTATTAGATTTAATAAAAGGTAGCAAATTAGTTTAATGTACTGAATACATGGCGTGCACTCCTTGTCGAAATTTGCCTCCTCTCCCGCCGAAAGAGAACACGTTATCACCACTTAATATTTTGATCTTTTAAAAAGGAAAAGCGAGTAGCTTAGAATGTTATATTATCTACGTGCATCTTTATTATCTTACTGCACACTTGTGCAATAGTTGCTAATGCAGAAGTCCAGACGCCAATTTAAGACGTATATTTATTTACATTATTGTCCACATCTTCAGGTGAATTTGAACTAGTGCTACATCACTGTAGTGTCTAGTGCCATAGTGTTCAGCACAAAGTACACGAGTGTAATCTTGTTTATCGTAAATAAAACTACTCACGTGAAGCTGGAGAGGCAAAATCCGATGGCTCGATAAACCTACTTCGACGCATGCGCAGATGCACTAGATAATATGTTTCGACAGGGGGGCGTCTCGACAGAACACCGGTACTTCCTGTAGGAGCACTTTTACAGTCACAGAAGAAACTCAGGATAAAGACATAATGTTTACAAGCACTGACCCCCGTCCTCAGCCCTGGTTTAATCCTGGTTTAATCCCGGTTTAATCCTGGTTTAATCCTGGTTTAGCTCCTGAGTGTGAGTCCCTGTGATCACTTTGCTGCTCTCTGATGTGGAGGATGTTCGCTGCTGCGAACCGCTCTCAGCAGCGAACGGTTTTTAAGGCAGTAAGATCCGTGCACTAAAGGTCGCACGTTTTGTTTGTTGTTGTTTTGGGGCAGACTGTGGCGTGCGAAAACGCAAAACTCTGTTCATCTCTGTCTACACGCAAATGCATGAACGGAGTTTTCAAAAATCTCCACTTTGCCCAGAGGTTTTTTATATATTTGTTTATGATGCGTTGTCATGTGGATGACAGGTGCAAACGAAGACAAATATCTGTGGTTTAGCAGATACCCGGCTACGTCGGCGGCACGGTGGCTGAGTGGATAGCACTCTCGCCTCTCAGCAAGAAGGTCCTGGGTTCGAATCCCGGCCGGACCAGGGCCTTTCTGAGTGGAGTTTGCATGTTCTCCCCGTGTGTGCGTAGGTTTCCTCCGGGTGCTCCGGTTTCCCCTACCACTAAAAATATGTACAATAGGTCTGACATGTGCCTCCTGTACTGGCCCCACTCCCAAAATAACAATAGTAAACCGCTTTGAGACTCCGATGTGCAGTGAAAAGGCGGTATATAAATAAAGATTACTACTACTTACTTACTACGTGTGGACGGGGCCTCATTCATTGTTAGCTTCCATGCCTCAGTTTGCATGTTCTCCTTGTGTCTGACCAGACTCTGACTCTAATGTTTCTTCTTCTTCTTGTTTTCAGCCGATGAGAGACTTTGTGTTTCTCAGATTCTGCAGAAAGTCAGACTGGAAGTGAACGAGGACGGCACTGAGGGAGCAGCGGCTTCAGGTGAGCTCCACAAACTGTTACAGATGCTAACGCTAACACAGACTGTATACAGATGCTAACGCTAACACAGACTGTATACAGATGCTAACGCTAACACAGACTGTATACAGATGCTAACGCTAACACAGACTGTATACAGATGCTAATGCTAACACAGACTGTATACAGATGCTAACGCTAACACAGACTGTATACAGATGCTAATGCTAACACAGACTGTATACAGATGCTAACGCTAACACAGACTGTTACAGATGCTAACGCTAACACAGACTGTATACAGATGCTAATGCTAACACAGACTGTATACAGATGCTATTGCTAACACAGACTGTATACAGATGCTATTGCTAACACAGACTGTATACAGATGCTAACGCTAACACAGACTGTATACAGATGCTAACGCTAACACAGACTGTATACAGATGCTAACGCTAACACAGACTGTATACAGATGCTAACGCTAACACAGACTGTATACAGATGCTAACGCTAACACAGACTGTATACAGATGCTATTGCTAACACAGACTGTATACAGATGCTAACGCTAACACAGACTGTATACAGATGCTAACGCTAACACAGACTGTATACAGATGCTAACGCTAACACAGACTGTATACAGATGCTAATGCTAACACAGACTGTATACAGATGCTAACGCTAACACAGACTGTATACAGATGCTATTGCTAACACAGACTGTATACAGATGCTAATGCTTACACAGACTGTATACAGATGCTAATGCTAACACAGACTGTATACAGATGCTAACGCTAACACAGACTGTATACAGATGCTAACGCTAACACAGACTGTATACAGATGCTAACGCTAACACAGACTGTATACAGATGCTAACGCTAACACAGACTGTATACAGATGCTAACGCTAACACAGACTGTATACAGATGCTAATGCTAACACAGACTGTATACAGATGCTAATGCTAACACAGACTGTATACAGATGCTAATGCTAACACAGACTGTATACAGATGCTAATGCTAACACAGACTGTATACAGATGCTAATGCTAACACAGACTGTATACAGATGCTAATGCTAACACAGACTGTATACAGATGCTAATGCTAACACAGACTGTATACAGATGCTAATGCTAACACAGACTGTATACAGATGCTAATGCTAACACAGACTGTATACAGATGCTAACGCTAACACAGACTGTATACAGATGCTAACGCTAACACAGACTGTATACAGATGCTAACGCTAACACAGACTGTATACAGATGCTATTGCTAACACAGACTGTATACAGATGCTAATGCTAACACAGACTGTATACAGATGCTAATGCTAACACAGACTGTATACAGATGCTAATGCTAACACAGACTGTATACAGATGCTAATGCTAACACAGACTGTATACAGATGCTAATGCTAACACAGACTGTATACAGATGCTAATGCTAACACAGACTGTATACAGATGCTAATGCTAACACAGACTGTATACAGATGCTAATGCTAACACAGACTGTATACAGATGCTAATGCTAACACAGACTGTATACAGATGCTAATGCTAACACAGACTGTATACAGATGCTAATGCTAACACAGACTGTATACAGATGCTAATGCTAACACAGACTGTATACAGATGCTAATGCTAACACAGACTGTATACAGATGCTAATGCTAACACAGACTGTATACAGATGCTAATGCTAACACAGACTGTATACAGATGCTAATGCTAACACAGACTGTATACAGATGCTAATGCTAACACAGACTGTATACAGATGCTAACGCTAACACAGACTGTATACAGATGCTAATGCTAACACAGACTGTATACAGATGCTAATGCTAACACAGACTGTATACAGATGCTAACGCTAACACAGACTGTATACAGATGCTAATGCTAACACAGACTGTATACAGATGCTAATGCTAACACAGACTGTATACAGATGCTAATGCTAACACAGACTGTATACAGATGCTAATGCTAACACAGACTGTATACAGATGCTAATGCTAACACAGACTGTATACAGATGCTAATGCTAACACAGACTGTATACAGATGCTAATGCTAACACAGACTGTATACAGATGCTAATGCTAACACAGACTGTATACAGATGCTAATGCTAACACAGACTGTATACAGATGCTAATGCTAACACAGACTGTATACAGATGCTAATGCTAACACAGACTGTATACAGATGCTAATGCTAACACAGACTGTATACAGATGCTAATGCTAACACAGACTGTATACAGATGCTAATGCTAACACAGACTGTATACAGATGCTAATGCTAACACAGACTGTATACAGATGCTAATGCTAACACAGACTGTATACAGATGCTAATGCTAACACAGACTGTATACAGATGCTAATGCTAACACAGACTGTATACAGATGCTAATGCTAACACAGACTGTATACAGATGCTAATGCTAACACAGACTGTATACAGATGCTAATGCTAACACAGACTGTATACAGATGCTAATGCTAACACAGACTGTATACAGATGCTAATGCTAACACAGACTGTATACAGATGCTAACGCTAACACAGACTGTATACAGATGCTAACGCTAACACAGACTGTATACAGATGCTAATGCTAACACAGACTGTATACAGATGCTAATGCTAACACAGACTGTATACAGATGCTAATGCTAACACAGACTGTATACAGATGCTAATGCTAACACAGACTGTATACAGATGCTAATGCTAACACAGACTGTATACAGATGCTAATGCTAACACAGACTGTATACAGATGCTAATGCTAACACAGACTGTATACAGATGCTAATGCTAACACAGACTGTATACAGATGCTAATGCTAACACAGACTGTATACAGATGCTAATGCTAACACAGACTGTATACAGATGCTAATGCTAACACAGACTGTATACAGATGCTAATGCTAACACAGACTGTATACAGATGCTAATGCTAACACAGACTGTATACAGATGCTAACGCTAACACAGACTGTATACAGATGCTAATGCTTACACAGACTGTATACAGATGCTAATGCTTACACAGACTGTTACAGATGGACAATGCTAACATATAGCACCGTTAGCATTGGTAGCAGTGTAGTTTTAAGGACTTTGTTGTTGATGTGAGTGTGTTTCCTGCAGCTGCTGTCATGTTTTCCCGTATGGCTGTGGACGAGATCACTCTGGACCGACCTTTCCTCTTCCTGATCCAACACAAGCCCACAGGTACACACAATTCACACACACAGGTACACACAGTACACGAGCACACAGGTACCCACTACACAGTATACACACACACAGGTACACGCATAATCTCGTCTGTACCTGAGTGTGTATGTGTGTGTCTGCCTCTCTGTATGTGTGAGTGCGTGCGTGTGTGTCTGCCTCTGTGTGTGTATATCTATATATATATATGTGTGTGTGTGTGTGTGTGTGTGTGTGTGTGTGTCTGCCTCTGTGTGTGTATATCTATATATATATATGTGTGTGTGTGTGTGTGTGTGTGTGTGTGTGTGTCTGCCTCTGTGTGTGTATATCTATATATATATATGTGTGTGTGTGTGTGTGTGTGTGTTGTGTGTGTGTGTGTGTGTGTGTGTGTGTGTGTGTGTGTGTGTCTGCCTCTGTGTGTGTGTATATATATATGTGTGTGTGTGTGTGTGTGTGTGTGTCTGCCTCTGTGTGTGTGTATATATATATATGTGTGTGTGTGTGTGTGTGTGTGTGTAGAATATTCAAACATTTAATTCATATTTGAATGTCACAGGAGCTGTTCTCTTCATGGGTCAGTTCAACGAGCCTCAGTCGGTGTGAAGACCAGACCCTAGACCAGACCAGACCCCAGGAGAGTCCAAACCAGACCCCAGGAGAGACCCGCGAGCACACGTCGACCTGAGTCCAGTGTTCTTTGATCTGTTATTTAACTGTTGTTTGGATGTTTATTATTTGCTCCTGTGTCTGTACATATGTCTATATTTTTATGTCTATATTTATTTTGCTTTAAACTATTTTTGTAATAAAAACAAAAACGTATTATGGTTTCATTAGTTTGTGTATGGCCCTAAATCACAGCAGTCGTCGCCAAGGACTTTACAAAGTTGTTTATTCACCAACAACAGGTCATAAAATCAACCACAGGAAATCTAATAACAGTTATTAGGTCCAATGGCAGCGGGACTGAGGCTGTAGACCCAGGACTGAAGCTGTAGACCCAGGACTGAGGCTGTAGACCCAGGACTGAGGCTGTAGACCCAGGACTGAGGCTGTAGACCCAGGACTGAGGCTGTAGACCCAGGACTGAGGCTGTAGACCCAGGACTGAGGCTGTAGACCCAGGACTGAGGCTGTAGAGCCAGGACTGAGGCTGTAGACCCAGGACTGAGGCTGTAGACCCAGGACTGAGGCTGTAGACCCAGGACTGAGGCTGTAGACCCAGGACTGAGGCTGTAGACCCAGGACTGAGGCTGTAGACCCAGGACTGAGGCTGTAGACCCAGGACTGAGGCTGTAGACCCAGGACTGAGGCTGTAGACCCAGGACTGAGGCTGTAGACCCAGGACTGAGGCTGTAGACCCAGGACTGAGGCTGTAGACCCAGGACTGAGGCTGTAGACCCAGGACTGAGGCTGTATGTCCTGATGATGATGTATGTGAAACCTGATTGGTGCAGGATGTGAAGAGGGAAGAATACCAGAAGAAAACAAACTTGTCACATCTTTAACGATGAACTGTGCTGCTCTAGTGTGAGGCTATTTTTTTTATCTTCGTTGCTTTGTGCATCACAAATACTGTTGTTCCAGTTCCAGTATGTATCACAGAGATCAGCACGAGAACACTCTGCGGTTGTTTTTTGACTATTCTATCATATTAAAAAAAAAAACGTGTTTGTTAAAAAGTGAGCTACACAACAGAGCAGGGCCATATTGAGGCGGTCTGCGTTCTCACCAGCAGCGAACCAGACTGGAGTCCACATGGAACCGTACCGAGACCAGCTCCCTAAGGTGGTCTCGGTACGGTTCTTTAGTCCGGACCAAATTTAATTGGTCCACTTTCACACCTGCTCAAACGAACCGTACTTGCAGGTGTTCCAGACTCCAGTCCGTTTTAAGTGGACTAAATGTTGCAGGTGTGAAAGCACCCTGAGGCTCTCTCTGGTCTCTCTCTCTGGACCCAGGACTGAGGCTGTAGACCCAGGAGATAGAGGAAGGGGAGGAGGGAGAGAGAAGAGAGAGGGGGGAGAGAGGTGGAGAGGAGAGAGAGAAGAGAGAGGGGAGAGAGAGAGAAGAGATAGAGGAGGAAAGGAGAGAGAGAAGAGATAGAGGAGGAAATGAGAGAGAGAAGAGATAGAGGAGGAAATGAGAGAGAGAAGAGATGGAGGAGGAGAGGACAGAGAGAAGAGATAGATGAGGGAGAGAGAGAAGAGATAGAGGAGAAGAGAGAGAAGAGATAGAGGAGGGAGAGAGAGAAGAGATAGAGGAGAAGAGAGAGAAGAGATAGAGGAGGGAGAGAGAGAAGAGATAGAGGAGAAGAGGAGAAAAGATAGAGGAAAGAGAGAGAAGAGATAGAGGAGGAAAGGAAAGAGAGAAGAGATAGAGTTGGAGAGGAGAGATAGAAGAGATAGAGGAGGAGGGAGAGAGAGAAGAGATAGATGAGGGAGAGAGAGAAGAGATAGATGAGGGAGAGAGAGAAGAGATAGAGGAGAAGAGAGAGAAGAGATAGAGGAGGAGGGAGAGAGAGAAGAGATAGATCAGGGAGAGGAAAGGAGAGAGAGGAGGGAGCGGGGAGGAGAGAGAGAGGAGTATTTTTCCTAACAGGATGATGAAGCTGTTTCCTCTGTGGAGATGTGACCAAACACTGATGAACAAAAATCAATAATAACAAATACTTGTGTTTTTAACATTTATTGTTTATTGACTTTTCTCCTGGAGTTGAACATTACGTAAATAAACTGTTACAGGAGATACAGAAACAGTGCTTTGCTCAAGGACACAAGGACAATAATAAATAACACACAGCACTTGATTAAAGTTTGGTTCAGAGGAAACTTCACATCGGCGTCTCCGCTTTGGGTGTGTCCCCAGCCAAGTTGGAATATGGGGCAACTGGGGAGAGGGGAGAGAGGGGGAGGTTAGAGGAGGTCTGTGTGAGGGAGAGGGGGGAGGGGAGGTCTGTGTGAGGGAGAGGGGGGAGGGGAGGTCTGTGTGAGGGAGAGGGGGGAGAGGAGGTCTGTGTGAGGGAGGGGAGGAGAGGGAGGGAGACGAGGTCTGTGTGAGGGAGGGGAGGGAGAGGAGGTCTGTGTGAGGGAGAGGGGGGAGAGGAGGTCTGTGTGAGGGAGAGGGGGGAGAGGAGGTCTGTGTGAGGGAGGGGAGGGAGAGGAGGTCTGTGTGAGGGAGGGGGGGAGAGGAGGTCTGTGTGAGGGAGGGGAGGGAGAGGAGGTCTGTGTGAGGGAGGGGAGGGAGGGAGGTCTGTGTGAGGGAGGGGAGGGAGGGAGGTCTGTGTGAGGGAGGGAGGGAGGGAGGTCTGTGTGAGGGAGAGGGAGGGAGGGAGGTCTGTGTGAGGGAGGGGAGGGAGGGAGGTCTGTGTGAGGGAGGGGGGGAGAGGAGGTCTGTGTGAGGGAGGGGAGGGAGGGAGGTCTGTGTGAGGGAGGGAGGGAGGGAGGTCTGTGTGAGGGGGAGGGAGGGAGGTCTGTGTGAGGGAGGGAGGGAGGTCTGTGTGAGGGAGGGAGGGAGGGAGGTCTGTGTGAGGGAGGGAGGGAGGGAGGTCTGTGTGAGGGAGGGAGGGAGGGAGGTCTGTGTGAGGGAGGGAGGGAGGGAGGTCTGTGTGAGGGAGGGAGGGAGGGAGGTCTGTGTGAGGGAGGGAGGGAGGGAGGTCTGTGTGAGGGAGGGAGGGAGGGAGGTCTGTGTGAGGGAGGGGAGGAGGGAGGTCTGTGTGAGGGAGGGAGGGAGGGAGGTCTGTGTGAGGGAGGGAGGGAGGGAGGTCTGTGTGAGGGAGGGAGGGAGGGAGGTCTGTGTGAGGGAGGGAGGGAGGGAGGTCTGTGTGAGGGAGGGGAGGGAGGGAGGTCTGTGTGAGGGAGGGAGGGAGGGAGGTCTGTGTGAGGGAGGGAGGGAGGGAGGTCTGTGTGAGGGAGGGAGGGAGGGAGGTCTGTGTGAGGGAGGGAGGGAGGGAGGTCTGTGTGAGGGAGGGGAGGGAGGGAGGGAGGGATCTGTGTGAGGGAGGGAGGGAGGGAGGTCTGTGTGAGGGAGGGAGGGAGGGAGGTCTGTGTGAGGGAGGGAGGGAGGGAGGTCTGTGTGAGGGAGGGAGGGAGGGAGGTCTGTGTGAGGGAGAGGGAGGGAGGGAGGTCTGTGTGAGGGAGGGAGGGAGGGAGGTCTGTGTGAGGGAGGGAGGGAGGGAGGTCTGTGTGAGGGAGGGAGGGAGGGAGGTCTGTGTGAGGGAGGGGAGGGAGGGAGGTCTGTGTGAGGGAGGGAGGGAGGGAGGTCTGTGTGAGGGAGGGAGGGAGGGAGGTCTGTGTGAGGGAGGGAGGGAGGGAGGTCTGTGTGAGGGAGGGAGGGAGGGGAGGTCTGTGTGAGGGAGGGAGGGAGGGAGGTCTGTGTGAGGGAGGGGAGGGAGGGAGGTCTGTGTGAGGGAGGGAGGGAGGGAGGTCTGTGTGAGGGAGGGAGGGAGGGAGGTCTGTGTGAGGGAGGGAGGGAGGGAGGTCTGTGTGAGGGAGGGAGGGAGGGAGGTCTGTGTGAGGGAGGGGAGGGAGGGAGGTCTGTGTGAGGGAGGGAGGGAGGGAGGTCTGTGTGAGGGAGGGAGGGAGGGAGGTCTGTGTGAGGGAGAGGAGGGAGGGGAGGTCTGTGTGAGGGAGGGAGGGAGGGGAGGTCTGTGTGAGGGAGGGGAGGGAGGGAGGTCTGTGTGAGGGAGGGAGGGAGGGAGGTCTGTGTGAGGGAGGGAGGGAGGGAGGTCTGTGTGAGGGAGGGAGGGAGGGAGGTCTGTGTGAGGGAGGGAGGGAGGGAGGTCTGTGTGAGGGAGAGGAGGGAGGGAGGTCTGTGTGAGGGAGGGGAGGGAGGGAGGTCTGTGTGAGGGAGGGGAGGGAGGGAGGTCTGTGTGAGGGAGGGGGAGGGAGGGAGGTCTGTGTGAGGGAGGGGAGGGAGGGAGGTCTGTGTGAGGGAGGGGAGGGAGGGAGGTCTGTGTGAGGGAGGTCTGTGTGAGGGAGGGGAGGGAGGGAGGTCTGTGTGAGGGAGGGAGGGAGGGAGGTCTGTGTGAGGGAGGGGAGGGAGGGAGGTCTGTGTGAGGGAGGGGAGGGAGGGAGGTCTGTGTGAGGGAGGGGAGGGAGGGAGGTCTGTGTGAGGGAGGGAGGGAGGGGAGGTCTGTGTGAGGGAGGGGAGGGAGGGAGGTCTGTGTGAGGGAGGGAGGGAGGGAGGTCTGTGTGAGGGAGGGGAGGGAGGGAGGTCTGTGTGAGGGAGGGAGGGAGGGAGGTCTGTGTGAGGGAGGGGAGGGAGGGAGGTCTGTGTGAGGGAGGGGAGGGAGGGAGGTCTGTGTGAGGGAGGGAGGGAGGGAGGTCTGTGTGAGGGAGGGAGGGAGGGAGGTCTGTGTGAGGGAGGGAGGGAGGGAGGTCTGTGTGAGGGAGGGGAGGGAGGGAGGTCTGTGTGAGGGAGGGAGGGAGGGAGGTCTGTGTGAGGGAGGGAGGGAGGGGAGGTCTGTGTGAGGGAGGGAGGGAGGGGAGGTCTGTGTGAGGGAGGGAGGGGGGGGAGGTCTGTGTGAGGGAGGGAGGGAGGTCTGTGTGAGGGAGGGAGGGAGGGAGGTCTGTGTGAGGGAGGGAGGGAGGGGAGGTCTGTGTG